TCAGAGTTTTTTAACGTTTTCATGCATATATATTTATGTATCTGTAAATGGACAGAAAATGTTGTATACAAATTGTATTACTTGTATTATATATGAATTTGTTTGACTTAATTTAATTTAATTCAAATTCAAAAATACTTTATTGATCCCAGAGGGAAATTAGGTGTTGTTGTAACTCATTTAACTAAAAACTTATTGTAGATGCTGATGGCTGTGGGCAGGAAAGATCTTCTGTAGCGGTCTGTATTACAGCAAAGTTGAAGAAGCCTCTTTGTCTTTCTATGATAGTCTGATGAAGAGGATGGTCAGGGTTGTCCACAATATTCTTGATTTCATGTAAAATCCTTCTTTGCACCATCATCTCCAGAGATTCCACAGTCGTTCCCAGAACAGAACCAGCCTTCTTTATCAGGTTGTTTAGCCTTTTTAGGACCCTGGCTCTGATGCTGCTGCCCCAACAGATGATGGCAGAAGAGATGACGCTCTCAACAACAGACTTGTAGAAGATCTGCAGCATCTTGCTGCAGACATTGAAGGATCTCAGCTCCCCCAAGAAGTACAGTCTGCTCTGTCCTTTCTTGTAGACTGCTTCACTGTTGAGTCTCCAAGTCTCCAGTCCAGTCTGTTGTCCAGATGAACACCGAGGTATTTATATTCCTCAACCACCTCCACTTCTTCTCCCATGATGGAAACAGGGTTTDATCTAGCACTATTTCTCCTGAAATCTACAATCTTCTCTTTTGTTTTGTTCACATTCAAGATGAGATGATTGTTCCCACACCATGTCACAAAGCGGTCCACCAGCTCTCTGTACTCAGCTTCCTGTCCATCTCTGATACACTCAACAACTGCAGAGTCATCTGAGTATTTCTGTAGATGACAGCAGTTTGACTCGTGCTGGAAGTCTGAAGTGTACAGTGTGAACAGGAATGGTGTTTTGTAAGCGTTGTTTTTTAACCATTAACACTCTTTACACAATTAAATATGTATAAAGGTATCACACAGGTGATGCATTAGGATCAATGGGCCTCATGCAAGAACCGTTCGTACGCACAGATTTGTTCTTAAGTTGTGCGTACGAGTGATTTAGGAGATCTTGTGGCATTCACCAATTTTCTCATTACCTAAGATTTTTTTCAGATACGAACAAAATTCACAAGTGGTCCAGACCTGTCGTATATTTTACGTGCAGTCAGTCTGCTGTTATCCTGATGGATTTTCTTCACTAATAACTTTATATTTCGTTAATTTGAAGATATTTGGAGTTGAAAATAAATCACACTCTACAATTATGTTGACAATAGGCTATTCTGTTTGAATTAAAATCATAATTTTAAATGTAATAATGTAGACTAATGGCATAAATTGGTTAAATTAAATTAAATTGGTTATTAATGCTGTTGCTTAGCACTACAATATTAATTTGAAGATTTCAAACTAAAAAACAGCTTAAATTGGACATTAATTGAAGTTTGGAGACATTTTAAAATGTTTTTTTTTTTCAGAACCGCATCTGACACCACTTACGACGGTCGGGAAGGGGGGAGACAGCCAGGCGGGGGTGGGGGGTAGTGGTGTGTGACTGCTCTTCTTCTGAATAAATGAAATCTATGTAACACAGTTGTTTACACTAAAATTAAAAGTATTTGACCAAAGAAAAACCAGAGCAGAACTAGAGAGAGATGAATATGATTTAGATTTTTATTTCTGTGTCCGTACATGACCCACAGGAGACACGACATTAACAGCAGTCATCATTTCATTCCTCGGCTTTAGCAGGTCTGACGCAGCTAAAGTGAACTTTTTTTTTGATCTCGGAGAGCAGGACTTCAGTCTCTGAACTCGTAAAGTTCTTCTTTTTCACTTTGCAATGTCATTTATGAATGAACACTTCCTGGTATGTTGGGCAGGAAACATAGCCTTATATGGTGTTTTTAGGGTGGTTATTATGCTAATCTCCTCTCCTCATGCACGAGCAACTGATATGCATTCATCAGTTTATGCAGCTCATTTACACACTTTTCCTGAAGATAGAAGAGTTTGTTGAATCTGACGTGACATGTTCGTACGAACCCTTCGTACGAACAAAAGTAAGAGAAATTTAGGATAAGAATACAAACATGCTCTTGCATGAGGCACACTCTCTTTGTTGAGATGGTTTCCCTCCTGAGTCAAGATGAGTTTCTCCTGCAACAATAAATAACAAATGAACAAAAAGAAATCCATCCAGTAATATTATGATCTCAGTTCAAAACTCTGCCATGAAAGACTGCGAGTGATATGCATTCCTTCACGAAACACTTGGCCTGTAATTTTACACACTAGTATTGTTGAAATAAAATGTTGCAAATGACACATGCTTAAGCAGATGCCTCTGCTGTAAACTGCAGCAGTTTCTGTCATGTCACAGTGTTGCCATGGTGATGTCTCCTGAAACATATGGCAGGCAAGTAATTGCTAGATATCAGTTTAAAGTTATGGCTTTTTGCCGGTTTGACAGTAATCACCACTTGGTTTATGTGTGTGTTCTTTTTGTGTGTTCTGTATGATTTATAATGTTTTCCTGAAAATGACCTTGAAGTCCCCTTTCTCTGGAGATGAGATCAAAAATCCAAAGCTTGACAGCTTTTTGTCAGTACAGTGAACCCCTGCAAAGTCCCAGTTCAGAGCTCACAAAATCAGGGTTCATATACTGTGTGTATTTTTATATACTGAATATATACAGTATGTATGCAGTATATATCATGATGTTCATGATATATATAATATTTATTCACATATTGATAAATACATCATATATGAAGTGTTACGGTTGAGCTTGGTTGGTTTGAACCCCAGGATGCAAGACTGAGTGAGTGTGGCAAAAAAATTTTATTAAAGCAACAAAAAAGCACTGCTGACGTGGCAGCAAACAAGATTCTTGGCTTGGCATGAGACAACAGTAAATACAGAACAAGGATCTGACAAAGACTGAGGACAAAGGACAGAATATAAAGGAAGAACTAAAGAGCTAAAGCAAGAAACACCTGGGGAAGAAACACGAGGATCAGGTGTGAGTGGGTGGGGCTAGAGCAAAGGCAGACAGGAGGAAGAAAACAGGAGGAAAAGACAGAAAACTTAGAATAAATCATAAGCACAGACACAAATCATGACAATGAAGTTTGAAATAAACCACTGCCCATGATCACAAATGAACCAGTGGTGTTGATAGAATACAACTGAATTAAATAAAATGGTCTTTAAAGTCTCACAGTGATATTAACAATTACTCTATTATTAAACAAGTGTTTTAATCAGATTAGGATAGCCATCATCGCTTTTTTTTTTTGCTAAACAACAACAAAAAACAAGCTTACAAAAAAAAAACTACTTATAAATACAAAGATAACACTTTCATCCTCATAATTGCATTTTGGGAATTACAGGTGTGAAGAGTTTCTATGGCCCAGGGATAAAAAAACATTTGTATTCCTGTTTTAGTGCTATGTTCCAGGTATTAGAACTATTTGAACTTGAAAGTTGAATGTATTTTTCACAGGGTGGGAGGGTAGCAGAGGGACCATTTTTCTTACCCTGCTGATGCACCATGATTTGGCAATGTCTTCCAGGGGGATGGGGGTGGCCAACAATGCATTTAGCCATGTTGATTTCTCTCATGATATCTTTTATGCCTGCTGCTGAACAGTTGGCATACAATACAATACAATTATACAGTACATCATGGTAATCATACAGTTATACAATATAGTACTGTAGCTATACAGTTATACAGTATAGTACAGTAACCATACAGTTATAGAGAATAGCACAGTTACCATACTGTTGTAAATATACAGGGGTTAGACAATGAAACTGAAACACCTGGTTTTAGACCATAACATCACTTTCAGACAGCTTCCTCTTGCGTCCACAGTTAATCCTGTTGGATGTGGTTCGTCCTTCTTGGTAGTATGCTGACATTACCCTGGATACCGTGGCTCTTGACACATCACAAAGACTTGCTGTCTTGGTCACAGATGCACCAGCAAGACGTGCACCAGCAATATGTCCTCTTTTGAACTCTGGTATGTCACCCATAATGTTGTGTGCATTGCAATATTTGGAGCAAAATTGTGCTCTTACCCTTCTAATTGAACCTTCACACTCTGCTCTTACTGGTGCAATGTGCAATTAATGAAGACTGGCCACCAGGCTGGTCCAATTTAGCCATGAAACCTCCCACAGTAAAATAACAGGTGTTTCAGTTTTATTGTCTTACCCTTGTAGTTTGGTACCATTACAGTTAGACAATATAGTACGGTAATCATACATGTAAATATTATAGATGGTAACCACACAGTTATACAATATAGTACAGCACCCAAAGAGTTAAGCAAAATATTACATAATCATCCAGTTATACAATATGGTATGTAAGCATACAGTTGTACAATGTAGTACAATAACCATAGAGTTAGACAATATAATACAGTACCCAAAGAGTTATACAATGTACTAGGTAACCATACAGTTATCCAATATAGCACGGTAACAACACTGTTATACAATGCAGTACAGTAACCATGCAGTTATACAATAAAATTAAAAGCCTATTTTTGAACAATGTAATCTATGCAAAAATGTTTTCATAGATTCCTCTGTCACCTTTGTTTATCCTGCTTCTGTTTCTGTTGTAGAGAGCAATGGCACAAGAAAAGACTGAGGAAAAGAAATAAGGGAATTACAACACAAAAAAAACATGAAGGAGGATAAAAAGACACAGACTATGATAAAATTAGGGCTAGCATTATACACATTTAGATTTTTTATGTTAAAAAATGGGAGTTGCATTATCCATACATTAATACAGTATTTATCATGATGAATTTTGAGGTATTGCTTATGGTCAGACATGATTTTTAATTTCATGTCTAAGCTGCTTTTTATCAGTGCTCAGCAGATTAATATTTATTGCAGCAAATTATTTTGTTTATGGTCCTCTTGTGTTTCTCTACTTTCAGAACATGGACAAACTGCAGCTCCCGTCTGTGACGCTGATCGTGGGTTGTGGAGTGTCTTCTCTGACTTTGCTCTTACTCATCATCATCTATGTGTCTGTGTGGAGGTAAGATACAGATATGTCCCCTAAAAGGTCAAGATTCTGCCTTTGTAAGACATAGTTTTTAAAACAATTAAAATACAGTACATTGGGGTTTCCTGTTAAATTAACTTGGCTGGTCAGCCGTTAACTAGAAGTTAGCTAAACCTCCATTGTTCAACTTGAATAAAAATAATGATATGAACACCTGGACTTCCTGGACACATTTATGTGACTCTTGTGGTGCACATGTTGGTGGGGTGCCTCTCACCCAGCAGGCTTGGGCAGTTTTAGGGGGCGTGTTCTTGAGCCCTTAGCGTTGTATGTGGCTTTGTGCTAACATACGGTTTTTGGCGCTGATAGAATAGTCAATTGAATTATTGTTAGTTTGTGTCTCCTTTTTCTCATGCTACAGTGGTGATCCTAATGTGAACTGGCCAAAATGCATGTTCGCTCTTCTGCCTCAGCATTGTCTTACCCACCTTTACAATCAGTCATTTTAGCTGCTGTTATGGCTGTGAAACTCCTGGAGTTCTTGCAAGAGCAACCTAATCTCATGATTCCAGCTCATAGAGGCACTTTTCCACCTTGTGGATGTGGACAATTCTAGGTACTATTTGTTTGTTGCTGCCCTGGACCAGCAGTTCACTTGCAGAGCTATGCTGCTGCTGTGTATCCCACCATGAACTGGAAAACACACAGCACTCAGGCAGCTTCTTCTCCAGAGGTACAGCCTGTCTTCAACAGAGTGGGCGGGTGAGAGCCTCTTCCTGTTTGGACAACAGCATGGCTGTGGACCTAATGGACAATATGCTGCCATTGCTCGATTTGGACAGAGGTGGTTTCCTGTTCTCACACATTTTTCATTGTCAGCTCCTGCCTCAAGTTTGAGCGGCTTTGGCAAACTCTCTTCGATTGGTGGCTGGTGATTACAAAGATTTGGTTGAAGAAACTGACTGGATCCTGCTGGCTACCTGACATTTTGTGGTACAGAGTACGTCAGTGAAGCCCCAGCTGTTGGCAACGGAAGAGCCAGTGGAGGTTTCTGCAGTTGGCAGGAGGGCTCTTCATTGAGCAACGTGTTGGGGACACATGGCAGCCACTGGTGTTTTCAAACTTAAATTGTGGAATTGCGAGCGAAAGTACAGTGTTATTGACTGTGAGCTGCTGGCACTGCATTTGGCTACTCGACATTTCCATTTTTTTGCAGGAGGCACATTCATTCACTGCTTATGTAGACCACAAACTACTTAGGTTTCCCATTTCTAAATTTACTGAGCCTTGGTCAGCCTTGGTAGGATGTGCTACATTCATACTGGAACGAGACTAGACGCATGTCTGAAGAGGGAGGAGCATCTTAGTTTTTTTTTTCTGCTCTGTCTTTAATGGAAGATGAAATTAAAATGAAATAAAGAAAATGGCTTTGCTTTATTTACTGAGAGCAAACGAACATTGCACTCACCAGATAATTAATACACCAGATCATTTAGAGGCGGTCTGTTTGGTGAGTTTCACCACTCTAGGAGCTGCGAGCTGACAAACTATTTTTTGTCCCAAGCCCAGTTTAGCACGGCAGTCATTTTAATGAGCCACTGACCCGCTTTGGTGCTGATATCTCCAGCCAGAACACCAACTGCAGGTGGCTGATTTCAGCTAAAGAGCTTCTGTCCATCCATTTCAGGTTAGTGGTAGCCTGGCCCTTGACTTCCTACGCAGTTCCACTCAATTCTAGTTTCCTTCACTGCTCGGTCTGGGATTTCTCCCATTGACAAGGATTTCTTCGGGAACATTTCATTTGGGCCAATCAAAGAACAGAACGTTGATTTTTCTGCATAGTGTCTGCTTGTAGGTTATTTCACCTGGGCCAATCAGCAAACAGAAGGCAGAGTTTTGAACAACGTTGATTTTCTGCGCAGTATCTGCTTGTAGTTTAGCGTATGACAGTGGAGGAAGTGAATGAAGCCAGTCCCTGTTGAGAAGGCTTCCAAATTAAATTAAATTTGTCTGACAAAGCAGCAGCTCTCATTTACAGTCGTCTCGTTCAGCTCGGTACTTCTCTCCTCTTAGTAGGGTTGTTTACAGAGCACGCAATTTCCAGTTAGCTTCTTAGCTTAGCCTCCTTCACAGTGGAGCTGGCACGCAAATGTCACGGCCAACCAATCCAATCATTTTAAACTTCAACAGAGGCCACGCCTCCAGCAAGAATCACTTCTCTATAGCTGAGAGTCCAGACTCTTGAATGAAGCAAAGTGAAAGACAAGGGCCTGGTTTTTACCAGGCTAGTTTAGTGGGCAGCACTCAGGAAATCGTCACATGGAAAAAATATTCTCTCTCTGATTGGTTGATGCGACGCATCAAGCAGCAAAGTTCAATATTTTGAACTTGAGAATCGGCTGCTTTGGACGTGCCGCATGCAAGGAAAACACTCAAACCGCACCTACTACTTCATTGCGTGCCGCGCTAAACGCACTAGACGCACTGCGTTGCCACTAAACGCGTGTCCACCATTGACTTTGCATGTAAACCACCTGATCCTGCTGCTCAAAACGTGCCCAGTATGAATCCGGCTTTAAGGTAGAGAAGTTCTGGGTGGAGAGTTGAGACATCATGGGTCTTGGTTGTCCAGATGTTTCTGCAGCTTGTCTCATGCTACGTTCACACCGAACGCGTTTTGAGCGGCAGGAGCAGCCGATTCACATGCAAAGTCTATGGTGGAGGCGCCTCTAGGGGTCGTGCGTCACGTCACGTACATTTTGGGTGGTGCGCAAGGAAGGTAGAAGGGGCGCAGAGCATTTTCCGCGCATGCGGTGATGCGGAAGCCGCCGCCGCCTGAGCCGCCGCCAGAGTTCAAATATCTGAACTTTTCGCTGCATGGCACGTCTCCCACTGAAAACCGAAACAGACGGACTGGAGATCTTTACCTGAAATCGACCATGTGCAGTTGGATTTTCTGGCAGAATATATCAGCACCGATGTGGATCAGCTGCTCTGGACCAAAAGAAAAAAAAAGTCCGTCAGCTGGCAGCTTCTGAAATGACGAAACTAACTGAACAAATCACCTCTAAATCATCTGGTGAGTTAATTGTCTGCTGTGCGCAACGTTCGCTTGCTTTTTAGTAAAAAAAAAATCAAAGCCATTTTCTTTTATTTTATCTTTATTTCACTCGCCGAGGACACGCTCCTCCCACACCTCGCTGCTGCCGCTGCTTGTTCTGGTCTGAACACTAGTGCTTTCTTAGGTCTGAAAATAGTGCATCCAACGAGAGACTTTTTGCGCTTTTTGGCCGCTCAAAATACGTTCAGTGTGAACGTAGCATCATGTTCGAGTTTTGACTGAAACCAGCTAGCACAAACATGACACCCATGGCTGTAGCACTGTGCTAACATGCCTGCATGCAGAAGCCAATACAAACCATGGTGAGGGTTTATGCACAATATGCTAAGAACTTTCTGAAATGTGAGAAATTATGACTGACCATATTTAAAAATATATAAAATGAAAATTAATTAAAAGTAACATTTGTGCTTATTTTGAGGTAAAGTATTGTTCATTTTAAGACATTTGTTCTCTATGTGAGTGACTTTATTTTAACTCAGTTGACATGTTTTGACATAGTTTTGTGTTAAATAAGCCTTTTGAAGGAATATCTAATTCAGCTCCACTGTTTCAGCTGACAGCTCTCTTGTTGGAGTCGTGTTTCCTTTCAGTCAGAAAGGACTTTCTTTAAACTGAACATTTTATGCATATTTACATTAGTTCAGGTATTTGTCTGCAACTTTTAGCCCCAGGTGACAGACAGTTCTACAAGCTGCTTCAGATCTGACCTTCAATTACAAACCAAAAGGACCTAAAAAGGACATAAAATCTGATTTAGCAGTAGCTGAGAGTCATCCTCAACACATTAAGTCACAGATGTCTAACTCCAGTCCTCAAGGACTGCTATCCAGCATGTTTTCTTGTTTCCTGATCAAACACACCTGGTTTACATGAATGCATGATTCTACAGACTTCTACAGAATTTGTAGAGGTTATTGAATCACTGAAAAGGTGTGCTGGAGCAGAGAAACAAGGAGGACATACAGGGCAGTGGCTCTTGAGGACCTGTGTTTGGCACCCCTGCCAGTATGACACCATTCACAATATTTTAACAGAAATGACTATAACACCATCCATCTGAGCATGAGGTGGGCTTAGTTTAAAACTCTGGCATGAAAGGTGGTGGGCAACATGCATTCCTTTAAGGAATGCTGGGCCTTTACTCTTTATGAAATCAGCATCCTATGAGAGTGCTAAGTCCAAGTGTTATTTGATTTATTTTTTGCTTGTAGAACAGACATGATAGTTAACAAATAATAATGAAAGTAGTGGCAAACAAAGAGGTCTTTAAACAGATTTGAGATACTTGAACACTATTTACTCACTTCTGCTGTCAGACAGCTTTGCTATCTGGCAACATGCAAGTCTGCAACGTGCAGACAAATATAGTGGATCAAAATTTGTTCAAAATATTTTACGTCATTTCTGAAGTTTGTGTCAAGCTGTTTTTATTCCAGGTGAACACTGGCTGTCATAGATAGAGACACTCAGGTGGCAGCTGGAGAGCTCATCAGATCATAACTTAAAAAGAAGTTCTTTTGAAGGGAGCCAACACAGCTATGGCCCAAAACTAATCTTTCATCTAGAAACTTTTCCTTTCATTTTAGACGTATTTGTATAATACAGTGATCGTATGAAAGAGCTAGAACTGAATTTTAAAAAGCAATAAGCTTTAACTTGAAACTACATGTTAAAACCTCTCTGTTTGATCTTCATGTTTTTATGAGTTTAAATACTAAATTTTGCTTCAGTTCTTTTATATTTTATTTATTTATTTATTTTATTCGTTTGTTAAACATGGGGTTTTAGGGTTAGTTTAAAAGTGGGTATAAGACTGGGAGGTTCAGTCCTGGTCTTGGAGGGCCATTATCCTGCAGGTTTTACTTGTTTCTCTGCTCAACACACCTAAACTAAATGTTTTTCCTGTGAAGTGGGCAGAACTGTACAGCTCCATACTTGGGTTAGGGTTTGTAAGTTGTTGTCTTTTTCCAGTGCTGTGTAGGAGTAGCATGACACTAATTGTGACAAAAGAAACTGAATAATAATAAGTGTGCTTTAATGCTCATTGGCAGACTTAATTATGCCATGTAGACATCTCCTTTAATTAAAAGCTATGATCCTGGTTATAAGAGGGTTTTTTTATTTTTTTGCAGGTACATTCGATCCGAGCGCTCAGTAATCCTCATTAACTTCTGCCTCTCCATCATCTCCTCCAACGCCCTTATACTGATTGGACAGACTCAGACAAGGAACAAGGTGAGAACCAGTCAGAAACTGCGTCACATGACTACAGCAAGGTTGTATATATATATATATATATATAATAATAATTATTATTATTATTATTATATTTATTCACAGGTTGTACAGATTGGTGAATCAATGCGGCCATATATTTACTGCTCAGCTGGGGTCTCTCAACCCTTTATATTAGGACCTATTCTTTTTAGTCTTATGTTAATGATTTACCAAATGTTTGTTCAATAGTTAAAGATCAGTTAAATGCAGATTATAACTGTATCCTATCTACAGGCTAAGCGTAATAAGCACCTGCTATTTTATCTACAGTACGTTTGTTACCTGGATCTCACTGGCTTCAGCATTCATGTTCACATCCTAACATCAAAACAATTGTTTGTTCATTTGGTCCATTCATCAGAGTGTTCAAGTGTTGATGTGATGGAGACAGACTTGATGTGGTAGATCAGTTCAAGTATTATGTTATTGTTTACATTGAAGCAACAAATTGAGAAAACTACAAATGTAGTAAAGTTGAACTTGACAATTTTTTTATTAAATCACATCATTGCCCATTTTACTGGTGTCTAAAGTGTATATGCTTCATTGATCTTTTATTATATTGTATTGTTTTACAACTTGGTCACATGTAGTAAATGTGTTACAACCATCAGGTCTGTCTTCAAAAAGACTAAGCTGTTCACTACTGTAACATCATCAGTAAGTCTAAGATCTTAGTCTCAAATATTCAGTGCTCTAAGTATAGTTTTAATGGTTTAAATTGACTTGTTCCTCCATCATTAAACTCTTTATAAAAGTATAAAACCAGGATAAAGACCAACGGTCCACATGTATCAATGGTGCGAATGCACAAAACGGCTGCATACGCTACTTTTCATCAATGATTCAGATGCATCAAGTTTGAAACGGACATGGAAACGTGTACAACTCCAACTTAGATTCCGGCGTACACATAGCTTGATCTGGATTTATTTGTGCATATTATGATTTCTTATGCCAAATTTCTGTAAGAAATCCATGCAACTTTTTGTACATGAGGCCCCAGATCTCAGACTATGGGGGACCGGATCAGAGTTGAACAGAGAACAGAGTTTGGATGAAGGTGACATCAGCTATAGAAACACCTGACCCAAACTCCCAGCACATGTCAGAGACTGTGACAGTTGCTCTGTTTTTAAACATAAATTGAAAATCCATGTATGAAATAGCAGTGTAACTTTTTAGAGGCTCATATCTCAGGACAACAGATGAAAATTAGCCACTGTGCTAAGTCTGTCACGTTAATTTTCTTGAAATGTTTAACATGCACTGTCCTTTAAAAAAACAATAAAACAAAACTTTCATTATGCCATTCTTTGTTGTTTCAGATTTTATGCACCCTGATTGCAGCATTCCTTCATTTCTTCTTCCTGTCCTCATTCTGCTGGGTTCTGACCGAGGCGTGGCAGTCCTACATGGCTGTGACGGGTCGCCTCAGGAATCGGATCATACGCAAGCGTTTCCTGTGTCTCGGCTGGGGTGGGAACTTTCGCTGTTATCGTCCACCTGCTGTTTTCTGTTGTTCCTTTGTGTGTACATTTACACACTTATTTACGGTGTTTGTTTATTTCCTCCCAGGTCTTCCAGCTCTTGTTGTTGCCATTTCAGTGGGCTTCACCAAAGCTAAAGGCTATGGAACACCAAGCTAGTAAGCATGTTTTCTTATGGATTTATTATTGTGAGCATCCTTATCAGCTATTATTTCTTGGATCTTAAGAAAGTGGAGATTTCTGTATCATTAACTTCTTTCAACACGTGTTTCATCTGTATTTTACTGTCCTCATTCTGGTCATGAACACACTTCTCTCTCCTCATTCTGTATCTGATCTTCACAACGTTTCTCATCCATCTTCACTTCCCCGATTGTCTACAATCTGTATTTTCCTGCTCCTCCCTTGAAGCTGCTGGCTCTCTTTGGAAGGAGGGCTTCTCTATGCCTTTGTTGGACCTGCTGCAGCTGTAGTCTTGGTATTTTTTTTTTACCTTTTTAAGTCTGTGTTTGTTGATCGTCCAAGCTTCTGCACTAAAGCTGACTTCACCACTGGCATCACGTAACAGTGTCTTCTAAACACGCTGGTATTAGTCTGCATGTTTCCATCCATGTGATTGCGATTTTATACTCACAGTCCTTTCATTTAGAAAAAAAAAAACTCAGTTGCAACAAATTTTAGATCTTAGACACATTACGTAGTAATAAACTTGAAATAACAGCCCAGACAAATACAGTTACGTCAGTGTGATGAATTCATTCAAATGAGCTTCGTAAGTTCAGTGTTTTACAAAATGTACCAGAACTGCTATGAAAAAAGAGAAAGAAGCTATCAAAAAAAAAAACACCTCCCCAAAGACTTTCAAAAAGCCCAAAAAACTGCTGATCAGGTTCCGTTTAAAAAAAAGTCTGACACACTGGAAACAAAAACTGAAGGCAGGATGGGCGCATTAAGACTTATGCACAGAAGTGTAACTACCAATTTCTGTAAAAAGAATATGTTCTTTGTCAACAGGTTTTTGTGTAATACAAAACACCATTACAAATTACACAATAAATACAAGAAAACATCCCAGAGCTCACTAATTGCTCAAATGTATAGCTTTATTTCTCTGTTGTTTTCTTTCTTCTGTTTTGCTTTTTCCAGTTTTATTCTCTTTCTCTTCACATTCTTTCCACATAAGTATTTTCTCTTTCTAGTCTCCTACAGTTCCTGCTTTTTCCCCTTGTCTACTATTTTTTTTCTTTTATCATTTAACACTTCTGCTTCACACTGGATGATGATCCCTCAGCAGGAAATGAAAGGCCTAAGCACCACTTGTATTTTTTCTGCCATTGGGGGTTAAAAAATTTGTATGCCTATTGTTTGACTGGCTTCAAACATTTTACAAGATACAGAGGTAAACAAAATGCTGCTGATTCAATAATCCGGCCAGATAGGCTACTAGCAGATGTTAGCAGGTTTCTGTAACATTAGATGGAAACACTGAAACTCTGGGTTAAATAGCAGCTGAGACATCACAAATTTATTTGTTTATTATTCATGTGGAAGTTTTCTGATTATAGTGCACAAGTGTTTTTTTTACGTGTTAGCAGATGTTAGCATCATTTCAGTTACCAGCACAGCCTTAGTGGTGTAAGGCTACCGCCCAGTATGTCCCTGTGGTACTGCCGAAATTGGATTGGATTGCAGTTTCATGAAGAAAATTGCATCATTTTGTTCTCAGCTTTGAGTCTCCCACCCCTTCTTGTCACAACCTGCTGGCCGAATCCTTCACAACCCAACATGAGAAATGACTGCGTGATTGGTCAAAAGTTCATGGGAGTGTTTGTTTATGCAAAAAGCACTCAGATGTTGCATTTTGCTTCAACTCGCATCCAGAATCCTATTGTTGTACCCAGAACCAAACACCTACAAGACATATAAACAGCTAAAAACATATGGATGGAGATGAAACAGATGTCATGCATAGAGGATTCTCTGCAAAAAACTGTTGAACTTTATCCGGAACAAATTTGTCGACAAATAATGTCAGGTATCGGAGTTTTTGGGGTTTTTTTTTCTTTTTTTTTTTTTTTTGGAGTGTTTTTTTTTTTTTGAGTGTAGACTGCAGCAAGACTGTGCAGCAACGTGTACCACAGGAGAGTTTTTCCAGGAGCTTGGCTTGGCATGTCTCAGGAGCTATGAAAGTTGTGTGTGAAAACGAAAAGTCGATCGACCATGTGAAAGCATGTCTGTCTGTTCAGCTGCCAATCGACCATACTGAGTACTTTACCCTGCAGCATTGCTGATGTCCAGGACAACTACAAACACATTGGAATCCTACATGCAACAATCATTATGAGGCTACAAGAAAGTTAGCCACAACCAACAGATTATTGTAGGTCCTGAAGAGTTAACTGAACAGCAAGAACAAAATCTGAGCTGTCATCGGTCATCAGATACCAGCTGGTATAATAGTCTGGCCAAAGGAGGAAATAGCAACCATCAAGACTCAAAAACTCTTCTCAATACATGGAGGGTTTCATCCCAAGTCTCCATTGTCAAGTCTAACTATTTGGTTCATGTCTGTTCAGTTCTGCTCAGGTGTGTGTGTCTCCATGTCAGTGTGTCCCTCACTCTGTTGACATGACTGTGGGCAGATCATCAGCATGCAGCTTCAGACATTGTATTGGAAAAAAAAGTGGTTTTACCATCATGTAGTCAAACTTTTTTTTCTTTTGTGGGTGAAACTTCGGGATGAGGGAAACTGACCCACTAGGTCCACATGGACATGGTCATACTTAATAGGAAACTGGAGGTCTTGCTTTGCTGTTGCACCTTTGCACACTGGCAAGAAACACAGGAAGCTGCCCAAGTACTAATGTCCTTCCGGAAGCCCAGCTACACGAACCTAGCACCCACCAACCTGACTGAAGTTTAAATCCCAGGGTGCCAAAGGAAAGGAACTGCGTTGAAAACCTGTCGAGTCTATCAAGTAGGAACCAAAGACTGAGAAACGCCGGTTGAGACATCGCAAAGAAAGGCTGAACCACAGTCATGAAAGAAACTCAAATGCAAAATGGATTCAGCCGCCTTAAAAGCCTGAATCCCTGGGTACGCAAGCTGGTCTTCAGCCATAGCACAACAGCAACCTGCTCCCTGGACAGTCAGCCACCAGATTGTTCTTACCTGCCACATTATTCCACAGTAAACTCTAAAATTGCCGAACGGTGCCCTTGTTTCTGTGCTGACCATGATTCTGAAACCTTTGCCATGACAAAAGTGAGGGGCTTGTGAGCCACAAAAAGAGTAAAATCCTTGCCCTCCAACAGGAACTGGAAATGATGTGTCACAAGGAAAGGGGCAAGTATTTCCTGATCAAAAGTAATGTACTTCTTCTTGGCAAAGTTTCCTACCTAAAAAGGAGAGGGGTTGCCAGCCTGTCCACCCACTGTTCACATACCTCCCCAACCACATAATCAAATGCATAGGTTGTGAGGGCAACAGGAGTTGCTGGAGATGGGTGGGCCAACAAGCAGCTTTAGCCAGGGCCTTCTTGGCATTCATTTAACTTACAAGAAAATAATTCAGTTATCACAGTTATTAGTTGCCAACTAGTCTGGAAAATCTTAATGCACTCAGACACTAAACGAAGAGTTGTGAAAAAACTCCTCAATTCCCGTAAGATCTGTATCACTTCCTGTAGGATCTGCTTTTGTCATTTTATATTTTCAAGATGAATTCTTCCACACTGTAAATTCTTTTAACTTGAAAATTACTTTATATTTTTAAAAACTCATCTGATCAACTGTATTAATACCTCACTAAGTTCATTTTATGCCTGTCACTAACCTTTAAAGAAATATTTTGTCTAATTTGAAGTGATGTTTGTTGAAAAGTTGTGAACACTTTATAACCTCTGTAGATGTCCTCAACTTGGGAAAACCAAAGTTAATTTTGACAGGACTGACAAGCTAACAGCTTTTCAGATAAAACAGCCAAGATGTTTTAAACATTTTACACTAGTTCACGTAAAAGTCATTATACTGTATATTTATTTGTTTACATGCCAACATGTTGCATTGCCCATTTATATAGACAGTGGTGGGCAGCACTAATTTAAAAATTAGTTCCACTAGCCCTAAAACACTAACTCATATATTTAGGTCCCCTAATTCTAAACCACTGATGCACTGAAAATTTTAGCTAAAGTTAATTCTAAAGCACTAAAATAACCCAGTCAACCCATGAACATTCTTCAACAGACATCATGAGTCACATATTACCATGTTTCTCTCTTAAGACTTATCATTGACATTTCACAGCTGTATTTCAGTTCATATTTTGTCAATATGTCACCTGGTGGATAAGTGACACACACATGAACAAAATACTGTATGTGACAGTTTTCACCCTCAGCTGTCAACATTAATGTTGATCAATAACATTTATATACCTCAGTTAGTGGTTCTAAATTTCGCCTATACATTTAGCAAGTGCTAATCCACTAATAAATTTTAAAAGTAGCAAAAGCCCTAAAGCACTAATCAGGAAATTAGTTCCCCTATTAGTGCTTTAGTGCTTTACAGGAACTGTGCCCACCACTGTATATAGATTTCTAATTGTGTGATGTAACATTTTGTTGCAGTCACAAAACCATAAAAATACAACAAAAAACAAGATTATAAGGAGGCCAATCATAGAAAGTTGTATGCCTAAATCAAAATAATGGCTTACACTCAAGAAATCTGAGCACATTGGATCAACGTGGAACTGAGTACAGATGAAAAAATAACATACAAATAGATAGAAATATGTTTAGTATTTGTGAATTTCCTCTCTGCATGATCACAAATCACATCTGCATGTGGATAAAAGAGGAATTGTTGGGTTTGTGACTCTGTCCTTTGACATTAGGAGGTCAGTTACTGTTGTCTGAGCAGTGCACAGTTACTAAAAACTGCTCAGAAATCACCAAGTCTGCCCATTCACGTTAGACACAAGATTTCAAACACTGATATTGTAAATGACAGCAGAAACACACCAGCTGTGCACCAGGCATGCAGCAACTGTGCTTTTCTGAGGCTGAGGCTTTTCTAACACAACGACAACACAAAGTCATTCCTTTAACTTGTAGGGTTCATTGAGCAGGATTTGAAACTGTTAGGTCCACAATGAAGAGTTTCATTTAGTTCTGACTCCATCTCACAAGGTGCAACTCATGATATTTCTTACATATTCTTTGATGCACAGTAATAAATTAAAGCTAACAGAGTATTATTTGTTTAATGGATGGATATGATGCATCCATCAAAGCAAATTAATTCAAATACAAAACTTTGAATTTAATGATTTGAAATTGGATATAGTTTCAATTTAGTGAAATTTATTTTCAAACCAATGCATTCAAATTCAAATTATGCACATTTAGATTCAGGTTTAAAAATGTAACAGGAGGTTGTCTTTGAAAGACAACCAACTGAACCAATAGGATGGCAATGTTTAGAAAACCCATTAGCTTATTACTTTTAGCTTGTCAGTCCTATCAGCATTTAAAACCTTAGTATGTTCAAATATTAAGACATCAGACCTGGTGAACAGAACCTGTCTTCAGAACAACCTCTGCAGACCCAACAATACTGTGTTTGAAGTCAGTGAGTTTGCTGTGACTCGTGTACGTGCATGCTGCTGTGATGTTCTTGGAATGCTGATCACCCTTCATGGTTGTTGTCCCCAGAGTCGTGCTGCATGCTGTGATGTACTGAAATTGCCTTTACTCTGTTTTAATCCTGTGCCTCTTGTCTTTGGCAGGTTAACATGGTTATTGGGATTCTCGTTTTTAACAAACTGGTGTCCAAAGATGGCATTACTGATATGAAACTAAAGGAGAGGGCGGGGTATGCTTTAAAGCACACATCCATTTTTACACAGCGACCTCTAACCAGCCTGACTGATGGATTGGGTGGGGGGTGGGGTGGGGGTTACTGCAGTTATTGTCTTTGTGCCCGAAATTCTCCTCAGCCGTCACTCGGCACAGATTGGCTCCAGCTGACACTTCACTGAGCTGAATGGAGGTTAAAGTGAGAAAGAGAAGGCTGTCTGGTTATTGGTCCTGCACAGACTCAGCAAGACAATGACTCAACTTTCTTTCTTTTATCTTTCAACTGTATCACATTTTCCTACAGCTGCTCTTTGTTTGCAGGTGCTAATGTTGATTTAAACACTGTCACGTCATTTGTCTCTTTTCCTATCTTTTTTAAATTTCTTTTCTTTTCTTTCTTCTTTCTGGTAAAAGGAAGCAGGGTTTTATTCAAAACAACAAAAGAACACATTTTTAGATAATCTGATTTTAGTTGCAGCTTTTTGTTCTTCTGTTCATGATATTTGTAAACTCAAATGTATTTTTCCCATTTCAAAAATTACTGATAAAATAATGGTCATCTGTCAATTTCATTGGGAGTGACAGAAAGAACTAAGGCAGTTTTCTTCTACATTGTTAAATGTTAATTTTGGCCTTTTCTCAGAGCCACACTCCAGCATTTTGGTAAATACTCGGTGGTCTTAATGCAGCCAGTCAGCTTTGTCTTCACTGGAAGTTGGCCTAAACCACCAGGTTAAAAATACACCCTCCAATAATGTTGATTTTTTTGTGTGTAGGTGAAGTAATATAGGGTTTAATATATTAATGAATTAAACAACAAATTAAGTTAATAATTCATAATTTATCTGCAGTCATAGGGCACCACTCCAAAGAGGAACAATTATTTTATTATCAGTTGCAAAACAACCATAAATAATGAGTTTTATTTTGAAGGGACCATAAACAACACACATAAGGCATTGTGAACTGAGAGTTAACTTTGGGTTAAACATCTATTAGCGAGATTAGTGGCTAATGACAAAACTCTTTATAGTGATCTGTTATATTTCAAAGTTAGGATTAAAATCATGCATGCTTCAGAAGATTGACCACTGAGGTGAGTGCAATGTCAGATTGGACGGGGTGGGCTTTAAATGTAATTTATCAGGTTTATCTGGTTGGTAGACTAAAACTGTCTGCTACAGAGTTCTTCGAGAGAAAGCTGTTCAGGTCCCCTCAGTCGCAGGTTCACAGGGCCAATGAATGTCTGGAGAGCACAGGATCTATTCAATGGTTTCATTAGGTGGTCTGGTTCAGGTGCAGGATGAGTTGTGTTGGGAGAAATCACAGTGTTCTGTCTTTTCACTTGTTGCTGACTAACTTAGCCTGATATAACATGGCAGGTGGACTATATGGGCTAGACTAAGTTCTGAACTAATAATGTAGTAAGTTACAGCAAAAAATATGAGCAAAGAAAAAAAACTAAAATAGAAAAACAAGACCAAACCATGGCAAACTGACAAAAACTAAAGCCAGGGACGAAAGAAAAAGCTCCCAGTTTTGTAAGTAATAGGGTTTTTTGTTCATTTTTTGGTACAGTCCGAGGCATGCTTTGGGGCATTTGGTTCAGCTGTGCCTGAGTGTGCGTGTGTGTGTATGTGTGTGGAAAAACTGTGAACTAACAGACATCTGGTGTACCTATGCAAATAGTTCAAACACATCTGGATGGAATCTAAAAGTAAGTTTTCCCAGAACCTAAAAAGAATAATTAAACGAGAGAATTGGTTTATCAGTATTTAGAAGCTTTGTTCTTATTTCATGGTCATAATGAGAAAATGCGAAAAGACTATAACTTTTGCCAGTAAAATGTATTTAAACTAGAAGTAAAATAATTATTGATAGAGTTTTAACAGACCTCAGACAACAAGTCTTTCTCTCAGTAGGAACTGCTGTCCCAACTCTTAACATTAATCTTAATAAACCTATCTGCTTTAACAGTTTTGTGTGAATAACAGTGGACCTTGGCAAAGTTCTTACTAAGGCTGCAAAATTTCTACTAAAAATATTTGGCTCTTTAAGGTTTTGATTGGAGATGCTAAGTCTGTCCTTTGAAGTTTTATTCCTGTGAATCAGATGAAAACAGACCAACAGTTTGATAACTCCCCTGCCCCATTGGAATGGTCAGAAGACTTCATTTGTTCTGATGAGATTCATGTGAATGTTCTCCTGAAAACATAATGGATTTTTCCATTTTGATTCTAAAAGCATGACAGCTTCACACAGTAATGCTGTTGTTTCCATCCCAGGTCACGTTGACTCTGTGAATTTTGTATTTCACCAACAGTTGTGTGCACACTGAACAGTTATCATCCAAAATGCTGAATGCACAAAGGTTCATTTGAACCACTGGTGAGATTGTGTCGTTCTTACACTTTAAGTCTAACAACTGCAGTACACACGTGCAAACACTTCCACCTTCAGGTAAACTGCAGTTTCTTGTAAAACAAAAGCACTCTGAGAGCTGAATTTAAAACTGGCAGGTAACTGTGGCTCCATTTAGAATCGGTGTGAATCAAAATGTTAATCAGTGGTGGATGTACATTTTATAAAATCTTGAGATATTTTGCTAACATAATGACAGTCATGACTCCAAACATTAATGTCAAAGCATAAAACAAATTGTTTTCATTTTTAACAAACTTCATTTTCTGCCTTTGTTTAAACAGGGACTATAATGATCTGAGACATATGGTTCAGAGAAGACTTCTCCTTAAACACTCCAGACTGGAACAACAAAAAAAAAGCTACAAAATACTGGGTGATCTAAAGGGGAACTTTGTCCGAAAACTGACACAAAAATAAGTAGTTGATTTAAATAGAAAACCCTACATTTTGGTCTTTCCTTCACTGGGACTTAAGTTGCTGCGGTAGTTAAAAACCTCCACAGCGGCAGTGCCACTGGATTGGCAGACTGGGGTGGTGGTTCCTACTTAGAAAAGGGGGACCGGAGGGTGTGTTCCAGTTATATGGTCATCCCTGTCCTTAGCCTCACTAGCAAGGTCTGTTCATCTACATGTAAAAACCAGGAAATAAAAGCTGACATTCTGAACTCTTATCTCATTCTCAATTTTTGATCTTAAACCCAAATGTCTCCAGTATACAACAAAATGAATGGAATTTGACATGCTGTTTTAATACTTGTGGGGACTGTAGGTTCCATCTTGGCCGTGGTACACTGGACCAGCTCTTTCGCCTCACTGTGTTCCTCAAAGGGTCATAGGAGTTTGCCCATCCAGTCTACATGTGCATTGTGGACTTGGAGAAGGTGTTCAACCGTGTTCCTTGGGGTACACTGTGGGGGGATTTTGGTTCCATTGTTACGGGCCATTCAGTCCTGATACAAGCGGTGCAAGGGTTTGATTCACATTGCTGGCAGTAAGGCAGACCCCTTCAGGGTGGGAGTTGGACTCCAGGGCAGCCCATTGTCATTGATGATTATAGCTTGTATGGACATAATTTCCGGGTGTGTCCAGTGGGTGGAGGGAGTCCGGTTTAGTGAGGTCAGGATTCCATCACTGCTATTTGCAGATGATGTGGTCTTGTTGGTGTCATCATGTTGTGATCTTCAGCTCTCAGTGGAGAGGTTCACAACCAAGTTTGTACTGGCTGGGATGAGGACCAGCATCTCCAAATCTGAGTCCATGGTCCTCAGTTGGAAAGGGGTGGATTGCTCTTTTAAGGTTGGTGGTTGCCTCAAGTGGAGGAGTTCAGGTATCCTGGGATTTTGTTTATGAGTGAAGGAAGACTGGAGTGTGAGCTTGAAAGACAGATTGGTGCTGCTTCTGCAACATGACAAAAAGAACCTCCCACTGCAGCACGTCACATGGAAACAGAAACAATTACACAGCCCAGTTGGCAGAGAAGATGTTCAGTTTTCATCTGATGATGGAAGAGTTGGAGGAGAAAGATCTTGTATTTCTGTTGTTAAATGAGAAGATCTATTTATTGTCCAATGCAGGGACGTGTCCTTACAATGTCAATGCCCACTTCCAGCAGCACAGCCACAGAAAGCTGCCTGTGTTTCCACACTGTCTCATTCACAATTTTTGAATGTATAATCTGCATAATAGGTTTTATTTGACTATCTTTGTAAGTTTTGCTGGAACAGTTTTAAAGATGTTTGTATTTTCTAACAGCCTTAGCCAACTGGAACCAGCTGCTCCTCAACAAAGCAGCTTAAGCTAAACGAGAGAAGTCTTCTTTAGCTGCTGTTCTGCATGAACACAACTAGGGATGCACCGATATGAAAATTTCAGCTGATATCGATATCCAATATAATTATTGCTATGGCAGAAAACCAGTATTTACCGATATTACACAAACACAAATTATATTATACATATATGCACAAACACACTTGGGTCTTTTTTTGATACTGTAAAAAATGACCAGACCTGACATGGCTCCTTACTTCAGTTATTCCTGGCTGTGTATCGTCAATATCACTATCATGATCAAACAGATGCTGCTCAACCAATCATCTCCCCTCCCAAAACAGAAACCCAAAGCTAAATAGTGGGAAATCAATATTGAATTTTAATATTGGCCCAGTTTTAAATATCAGACCGATACCAATATGAATGCCAATATATTGTGCATCCCTAAACACAACCACAAAATTTGGACCAATTACACAATGCTTGAAGCCCACCCTGTGAGAAAAAATATTCTGCCAGCAGCTTGTGCACAGAGCAGGGTCTCCTTGGTCAATTCAAGAACATAAAGACTGAACCATAGGGAAAGCGTTTCCGCACATCTGTTGAAGTATAAATCCAGTGAAAGGAAAAAAAAATGTATAGGTCCTCTGGACGGGTTCTTCTTTAATGAAACGTTTCATCTCTCTTCCAAGAGACTTCTTCAGTCTGAGAGTTTCAGGCAAAATTCAGGCTTTTGAGTCCTGCCTCCAGGTGACTGATACTCACATCACATGGCCATGAGTATCAGTCACCTGGAGGCAGGACTCAAAAGCCTGAATTT